TATATATATATATATATCAGTAATATTTGAATTTCACATTTATCTTGTTGCTATTCTTTGCTTTTTAGGGTCTTACGGATATTACCATGTTGCAATTTCATCGACACCTGCAATATATTAATATTGCTAATAATAATATATCATGTTTGTCACCTCTGAGCCACCTTCCATACTTAATGTATTTAGACGCATCGCACAATAAAATTGAACATGTGTCAGATTTTACACCTCCTTGGTACCTCACCTACGTAAATTTATCTTACAATTATATAAGAGACATAGGCAATCTGAGTGGCTGCTGGAGTATCGTTAGATTAAACTTATCTCACAACATTTTAGAAAGTATTTCTGGGCTAGAAAATTTAAAGTAAATACAAAATATAATGTGTCTTCCGATGCGCGATCTGTATTTACAATTTGTTATAGTTTTTTATAGACATTTACAGTACTTGAACTTGTCCTACAACCTCATTGAATGTATCGAAAATTTGGACGGTCTGAATATACAAGAATTAAACTTAGAAGGCAATTGTATAACATCATTTAGATCTATCATACCCGGCCGTGGCATAAATACGTTGCCTAATTTGCGAAAAATTTTCCTGGGATACAATAGATTGTGCACTCTGCGCTTTTTCAAAGTGATCATCACAAAAGAACGGATTGCACGCCAAAGTATTTCTAGTCCTGTTTTAATTAAATGATTTTTAGGATGTATACACCTTACGCTACGTAGATCTAAAGTTCAATAGAATCGCTGATTTAATGGAGATATTGAATTTGAAGGGCTTCATATCTGAAATCGACTTTAGAGGCAACAGTTGCACAAAGTGGCCCAATTATCGAAACGCATTGATAGCTTCTATATCAAGCGTTAAATTTATCGATGGCGTTCAGGTCCTTCCGCAAGAAAAGGTAATTTTTCTAAATGAAAAAGAGAAAACATTTTTCAGAAATACTAAGGAAGCCTACATTTTTTTCTAGAATTTCGAAGAAAATTGATAAAATTTGAAGAAATTTAAGATTTTTTTTTTCAAAAATCTTCATAAATTAAAAATATTAATTTTTTTTTTAATATTATGGGATATTATGAAAATTTTTTTTTAATTGGGAACTTATTAGTTATTTGTAATTAGTTGATTATTTAATCATTAACATTTAATCATTAATTTTTATAATAATAATAATAAGAAAACATTAAAAATAATTAAAAAGAAAATTTTCGCATTATTTGTTTCAGAAAAAAAATCAGATTTGGAGAAATATAAAAGAATTGTTCATGTAATTATACATAATTATACATAAAACACAGTTATGTGTACAAGCAAAATTTTTTTTACATTTCTCTAAACTTAATTTTTCTAAAACAAATAATATGAAAATTATCCCTTTAACTTTTTTTGATATTTCATTATTCTTATTATTTTTAGTACACTAAAAAGTAATTTTACAAAAGAAAGAAAGATGTGTGAACATGATATATGGACATATTTCATGTATAATTATCAGGATTGAGTAGTGCTAAGTTAAAAAGATAAAAGTTAAGTTAAAAAGTTAAAAAGTTAATTTTAACTTAAACTTAGTTATAATTTATACTCTTAACTTTATAACTTTATTTAGTTACATTTTATCCGTAACTATTAATTTTTTATTTAATTTTTTTGAAATTAAAGTCTCAGAAATCAAAGTCTCTTATACGTGGTAATAGCGATAGTTTAAAATAAGGTGAAAATTGCAAATTTAGGTGTTGATCAATGAAATTATAAATATTCTAGTGAATTTGTTCACTTTTGTAATTTTCTCATTTCAAATTACACAATCAACTTCCAGATTTGAATCAGAAACCCATTTTAATGTATCTAGTTTTTGATAGATTGAAATCTATTATTCCTTATTATTAAAATATAATACACATCAACACCATCTTCGGCTCATGTGAGCTCACATTGACCAGCTGTTCAGTACAGGACTCATTTGCGATAACTTGCGAGAAAAAAATATTCGACAAAAATTTCGAAATGGCTTTATTACTTATATTTAATAAGTATATGTAAACAAAATATTCAAACAGTATATATAGCTAGTAAAGTCTATGTAAACAGTATACATGAACAAAACATGTAAATAGAATATATTTTCTAAATGAAGTATATATTTGTCATTTTCCGTTATTTGTAAGACTGAAAACCCTGGAATGAAATAAAAAAATATAAAGAACAAATTTAATTTTTAACTTTTCAATTACTTTTTTATTAATTTAACTTTTAATTCAATTAATTTCATTATAAATTAACTTGTATCTTAACTAAGTTTTCAAGATTGTTAATTTCAAGATTGTTAACTTAATTTTAACTTAGTTAAAAAAAAAGTAAATTAACTTACTCAATCCTGATAATTATATATGAATATTTATGCATGTTTTTTATAAATATTTTTATAAATATTTTCTATTACTTGGTAAATATTTTCTTCTAGGTGGCATCAGCTAAGATGTTTGCCTCGCCATTGGACTTGATAGCTGTCCGTAAAGCAGCAAAATTAACTTTACTAGAACACATAAATATCAACAAGATAAATCCTTACGTTCAACCGTATGATGAAATCTGCCCTCCTTTGATGATACTCACAGGACCGTCAGCGTTGAAGAAGATGACACTGGCTTTGCATATAGCTCAAACAATTCCCGATAAAGTAAGCCTTGCAATCTTTTTTTGCAATATCCTTTCAATTATCTTAAAAGTCAATTTCAAAGAAATAGAATACAATTTTGCAGGTAAAATATTGTTATTGGTATACTACAAAGGAAAGAGACAAAGATAAAAATAAAAATAAAGCGTTCGTTTTTCTAAACAGGGAAGAGTTTAACAATATGGCACGGCGCGGCGAATTTTTAGTAATTGTGGACCTTTTGGGCGATAGTTACGGATTTCGTTAGTGCAGTATTATTTTTATTAATTTATATGAAATTATTGTTATGTAATATATGTAAATCCTAAAAAAAATCTCATATTTCATTATAATTTTTAAGAATTTTTTTCATATTTTAAATTTATAAAAAATTCGAAAAAAATACTTTAAACTTCTTCAGATTTTATAAGTTTTCTTTGGAAATTAAAATGAAAACTCTTAAAATAATTTAGAATTCATATATAAAATATAGTTCCAAAAATTAAAGATGCAGATTTTTTTTCAATATATTAAAAAAAGTATTCCAATGTTGAAAAAAATTTGACATATTTTTTAAAAAGTTATAATATTATACACAAAATTATAAGGAATTCTTAGAAAAATTTTCATTCTATTTGAAACTATAATTCTTTTTACAGATGTAAATCAGATTAGTCTATTGATATCTGAACACAAAATTGGACTTACTCACATGAATTTATACTCTGCCGTTGAAATTTCTAAACGATATCCGAATGTGAAAACGATCTTAGTATTTACACGAAGTAGTGATCTTCACAGAAATTGGATACAACAGAAATATGACATTTACACGTGGATTACAGACAGTGTGGAAAATTTATTGGCTGTTGAAATAGGCAAGCAAGAAAAAGAAACAGAGACTGCTAGTCACATAATAAACTTTATCAAAGAAATTTTGAATGAGGTTCGACTAAAGCTAATTTTAATATACGATCTCTGAAAAAAATTTCTATAATTCATAATATTAAAAAATTTTTTTTCATATTATAAATAAAATAATTTTTAATTTTAAATTTTAGAAGAAAATTTCTAAAAAAATTTTTCTTACACTTGTTCAGATTTTATAAGTATTTTTTAAAAATTATAAAATGAATAACTTTAGCATAATATTTCAGAATTCATATAAATAAAAAATTCTAAATGTAAATCTCTTCTGAGCATTTTTGAAAAGTATTTAAATTCGCGCATAAAAATTGGAAAAATGTTCTAAAGTTTTAAAATAATATAAAAATTGTGAAAAATTTTGAAAAATTACGTGAAGAATTCTAAGAAAAATGTTCACTAGGAATATATTGCGAAATTCTGCTAAATGTATGTTTGTTGTTAGATAATAAGCCATCGAGTTTTTCCAATTTACGAAATCTCCATGAAACCTGAAGAAAACGGGACAATTACCGACATAAAATTACAAAATAAAATATTACCGAAATTAGTATTTCGAAGAAGTGAAATAATATCACAGAAAAAAGAGTACATTACATCGTTAGAAATAAAAAATGATATAAAATCATTTGATCAATTGTTATCAGAAGAAAAAAAAGAACTGGCAGAATTAAAAGTACGAATTGTAACTTTAAATAAAATTTGAATATCTTGCATTATCAGCATGTAAATATATATAGGTATTGTTGGATGAGGAATCGAATATTATTATTGAAGATAAAGAGATGAGACAAGAAAAACATAAATTGAGGATGTTACAGCGTCGAAATATATTGATAAGGGGCATGCTTGACGAGTTCGATACCGATAATTTTAGTGAATCAATATCTTCCGAAGAAATGGACACTGTATATGCTTTGAATTTCGTGAAAGATTATCCCAGCAAACCAATACATAACTTTTTGATTTTCTAGGATGTTTATGTTGTGTTACAGTAATATATCAGTGAAATATATTTTTACATAAACGATTCCAAAGCTGACATAAAGCTAGAATAATACATTTATTATACAAATAATATTACGTTGATAACATTGATGACATTCATGTAATATTATATATATGTCTATGTTACATGTTTTGATTTGATGGGATTAATCTCATTTTAGAAACTTCTTCCATTATTTTAATCACAATATAAAATATAATGTACATATATTCTCTGTGGAGCATTCAAAATTAAGTACTTTCATTAAACAGAAAAACAACGGTAAAACAAGTTTAGTTTAAAAAAGAAACATCACAATAGGATAACTTTTTTTTCAACCTTCTCTTATTGTTATTCTTATTCTGTGTAAATATAATTTTCATGTACAGCAAGAGACAATAACGCACGAAGAAAAAGCAAAAGCATTAAAAGATATATATATTGAACTTAATATAAAAAATAGGAAATTGTACTTGGATTATCACGAAAGCCATCCTGGCTTCTTTGTTTTAGTGGTAATTCATTATTTTTACATTAAATTAATTTTAATTACATCTAATATTATACATCTGATATAAATTATTACTTTATGTTGTAGCTGTTTATGGATGATTATACAAAAGCTTTTGACTCGTTAATCAACTTCATTCATGAATCATATACAAATCTGCCTTACAAAAAATCGAAAATCTTATCAGAAATGCAGCATTTTAACCATATGAATATTTCCATCATGCTTGAAAGTATCATTGATAAGATTAGAGAGTGAGTATATAACATTTATACAAAGACTGGTTAACGCAAAAAATAACACTTTTCTGTTACAGGAATTTATCAATATCTAAACTCCAACGCAAAAAAATATTAAAATTGCAGAGAATTGATTGTTCTTCTCAAAATAATGATCGCAATAAGCTATAATAAAATAAATTAAAATAAATTAATATATATATTATAATTTGGATATGTATGACATTTTTTCAATACGACTAGCAAAATAAAGTTTTGGCCAAGCATTTTAAAAACAATCTGTATAATACATGTGTATTTCAAGTTGCAGAAGATATGTAGAAGACTTTTTGGTATACACACGTGCATTTTATACTAAAAATCTATAGTTTTTGCATCAAAAACGTATCAAATAAAAAGCCATTTCTAAATATACGTACACTACTAGTTATATAAATATTGTAATAAATTTTACACACACACACACACACACACACACACACACACACACACACGCACACGCACGCACGCACGCACGCACGCACGCACGCACGCACGCACGCACGCACGCACACACATACACACACACACATCCCATCCCATTTATGATATGAGCAGCACACTGTAGAAGATGTATAGATTAAGATAATAATTTAAAGTTACATCGTACAACCAGTATATCTTATTCCATCTGTAATATTTCATCGATATCTGAATCTAGATCAGAATACTTTATTTCATTTTTACGTTGAACAATAGCGGGATCTTTGTCTTTCAGAGTTCGCGGAGCGGGTTGTGGAAATATGTTGCCTTTCGCTTTCGGACTTGTAGAATTCCGCATAGGATTGTCCAAAATGGAGCTTACGAGACTGGTCGAGTTTAACAGTTGATTTCCTGCATTATAATTCATAAAATCCTGTGAGCTCGTGTTAACTCGAAAGATGGTTTCAACCGATCCTACAGGCGGTTTTCTTGATATACTTAACTAGAAAAATAATTTATAACAATGTCATTTCAATGATATATCATACAAATATATCAAATAATTGCATAAAATATCATCTTACTTGTTCCTGTATCTTCTTGGATATTTCCGCGATTTTATCGCTTTGCGAAGTTTTTAAAACAATATTGCCTGTGCTCATAGACTTCTCTTTCTGCAATGCATATTCTTCCCTTTCAGCAAAGCTTAAAAAAAAATAACGAGAATTAATTACATACTTAAATATACAAATATATATGTAAAAAATAAGAACAAAAATTACAATGTAAAATCTTTAATACCTTGATTCTTTCCAATTATCATTTATTTGATTCTTTCCTTGATTATTTTCTGATATCGTCGTATCATCATTTTTTTTGTCATTCAAATCGAATAAGACTTTTTTCTTTACCAAGCTACCAACTGAGCCACTTGTCAATTTTAAAACACTTTTATTTTTCGGAGAAAGAACTGAATCGTCTGGTATAATTGTACTGTCCGAGTCATTATTTTCAAACAATTTTGATGTTACTACCTGTTTTTTACTGATTGGAGAATTCATTTTACTTGTGATGGTATCCGATACAGTTATCTTCATAGGTGAAATCTGTTTTATATCTTCTTGAGATTCAATAGAGCTTGCGGAGGAAATGCTTCGAATTGATTTTGAATGTACTGGAGTCACTTTTGGACTGATGTAAGTGTCTGCTCCATTTTTTTTCAATGGTGATTCACGTGTATTTTCATACACCTCGTCTTTGTATTTTTTAGGAAGAAGCTCGATCTTCTGCTTTAAACGTAATTTTAATGGTGTCGTATTTTCTGCTTTCTGGATAGATGTACATTCGCCTAAAAAAGATTACATTACATATTAACTGTCCATATATTAGAGATTTAGTATAGAAAATATAGGATTACTATTGTCTTTGCTGAATGCTTTCCATGCCTTCGATTTAACGTGAGTAACCAATTTATCCAAAGAGAAATTTTTTGTAAGCATAGAATATTTTGGTTCTTTATGATTTGCTGATATTCTCTGAAGAACATCTTCAAGTATTTTTTGTTTAATTTGATTATACCGAACTAACTTCTTTGCATTAATATTTTGTTGATGCCTTATAATCTCCATTTTTTGTTTATATGTTGCCGCAGGTATTCCTTGCCATTCTGGATCAATTCCTAATTCTCTTAACCGATTATCAAACATATTTCGCGCGTCTTCCAGAATTGATATTTTTCTATTGGGAGATTTGATTACAGGTGTTTTACATTTTTTTACTAAATCATCATCTGTTGTAACACTCTCACTATCGGTCCCTGATTCTGACATTGATGACAAAGAATCAGATTCTGTTACAGAACTTACACTACGCTTTTCTAAGAATTCAGATCTCTTGTTTTTCATATTATCTGTACGTAACATTTCTTTCTTTTCTCTAATATCTACATATTTTTTATTTATATCAATAAGATCTTTGATGATAAAATTTTCATTTATGCGGTCAAAATTAACTTCATTTATGTCATCTAACTCATCATAATGTCTCACACTATTTTTCGTTTCTTTAACAACTTCTGAGTTATTTAATTTTTTCAGATTAGACTTAGTAATCAAATGTTTTACAGTCCTACTGTTAGTTACAACTTTCTTATTACCCTTACTCTTTACAGTATTATCTTTAGTAGGTATATTTTGGGATAGTTCTACGACTGATATCAATTTTTCATTATATTCTTGACTAGATTCACTATCAACATCTTGAATGACCATCTCAGTATTTTCAGTATTATTTAAACTCTTATAAGTTTTGTTTTCATTGTTGCTGTCGTGTTTTATTAATAAAGCAGATTTATGGAATTCTGCCATGTTCCTTTCCCTAGTTTTGTTATTATTGATTTGTATCTGTGAATTATTAATCTCACGTGACAAATTATTTAATTGTTTTCTTTGCTCTACCAACATGTTGGTTTGATCCATGGACTGTTTCTCCAAGTCATGTACCTTAGACGCATACTCAGATTTTATACGATCAGCTATTTGTTGAGTCGCTTTCAATTCTGTCGTCAATTTCTCGATATCTCGATGATGTTGAGCTTCCATATCTTCCATCTTGGTTTTCCAATGATTTTCTTGCGTTTGTAGCTTTGCCTGCATATTTTCTATGCCTGGAGTCAACTAAAAAAATAATCTAATATAGCTTAATACCTAATAATGTATAATAAAGACTATCATTTCTTACTCTTTCAAGAAGTTGATTTCTCAAATTCTCAATTTCTTTCTCTTGTTGACTAATTAGACTTTTCACATTTGTCTCCAGAATATTCTCATTTACAACATGATCTTTTTCTCTTAATGCCTGCAAAAAGATTCTAAGTAATTTGTAAGAAATTCTATAAATAGAATAAACTCACTAATTAATATATGAACTTACACGTATCTCATCAAACAACATGTTCTTCAAACTTCCAATGTCTTCTTGATATCTTCTTTGCCCTTGAAATCTATCTCTGCTAAAATCATACTCATTTTTACTTGTGTTTCTTGAATAATCCTTCTCTGAATTATCCAACAGTTTGTCGGATTCATTCCTTATTACTCTTTCAGTTTGATTCAGTCTTTCCTTCAATGTTTTTATTTCATTGTGTAATTTCTCTGTTTCTGCTCGGTAATGGTCATGCACAGGAGAAGAGGATACACCCATGTCTGATATGTATGAATGTTTACGTGCTATGTGAGCATTTACAAATATAGCACGCACAAATGTTTTCGGGCAATGTGGACACTACAAGAGATCTTGCAAGATTAGATTTTGAGAGTATTATGATTAATTTATAACTTCAATTTATAATATATCGTAAATGTAAATAACTTGGGACAGTATAGGTAACTTGGGACAGCATGTATTTTTGTTAAATTTAATCATGGAATCCATCCATAAGTCATTAAAGAAAGTTTAAATTTTAAACTTTCTTTAGAGATTTGTGGATAGATACTATGATTAAATTTAACAAAAATACATGCTGTCCCAAGTTTTTTATATTTGCAATATAATTTATAATTTGTAACTAACAGAAGTCAATATATCATTTATAATCAATAGAACACATTTTATTTCTAATAAATAAATTTGTTAAAATTTACTTTGTAAACTTCTCCATTAGAGATTTCATCGATGCTAGTCTCAATTAATTTACGTTTCTCCTTTGATCTCTCCTTTAGATTCTTTACAGTATCTTCCAATGTAGTAATTTCTTTCTTCATACTGATATTTTGTTCAATCTTCTGTCTTAGCTCATCCTTCAATATTATTACACTGTGATCTAAATACTGTTTACAATATAATAAATACTCGACTGACAGTTGTGCAAGTCTGAACAACTTAACAAAATTAGAGTCCAAGATTTTGACATCATATTCACTTTCTAAGCAGTAATCTATTACATTATTAATGTTTTGATCTATACTTGAGAAATCTCTTTCCCGTATAACTCTGTCTATATCTATAGCACCTGTAAGAAAAAGATAAATCGTAATTTATAATAATAAACTTGATATTTGTGTTATTGATTGTGTCACAACATCTGACTTACCTATACGATTCCAGTCAACTCGTACTCTGGATCCATGCATATTAAAATAAAATCCTGATTCCCTGGCGAGTTTCGGGAAATCATGACACCAATTAGTGCCGGCTCGAAACGAGAATGCCATTATTTAAAGACTCATTTGCGTGTACATGAAAAAGTCTTTGAAAAAATCCTCTAAAGAAAAACCATCACCTTACACCCATCACGAGTTTGTTTATATATTTACGAGCTTATATATTTCGTGCGTATTGTGTGAAATTTTCACTGCATAATTGCTTACAATCACCCACACACAATATGTACAGCTTCAATTACAATTTGTAAGCGAGATAAACGGCAAGTGTCAAAGTCGATGTAAAAGAATGTAAATTGTTTGTAAATAACATAGGATGTATCTAGAAAAAAAAAACACTGGTAGTGTAACCAGTGTTTTTTTTCTAGACGTTGGCAGTTCTGTAACTAAACCAATATGGCTGCGTTCAGTGGATTTAACATAATAGTAAGGCCTTACGCACAATACAAGAAATAAGACCAATATAAAGGCCATTCTACATTGGTCGTATCGTAGATGTCACAAGCTTGCTGTTTCAGCCAATCTAATACTTCAATTTTAAACATTAAA